GGTTTTTTTTTTTTTTTTTGGGGGGGGGGGTGGAGGTTTTTGTCTCCATTCTAATCTTAGACAATAATTTATTTTCTTTTTTTATGGCCTCCTATAGGTAAAATGAATATGCTGAAAGACCATAAAATATGGACTCTGAGTACAAGGTTTCATAAATTGTTGTTTTTTGCATTTGATGGAGATGATGTGCGTTCTTTGTGTTTTGTATTTCATGTATTTTGAGTCTTTACTGGAACACTCATTTCTCTTACAGAAGTTGGTACAACTGTAAAAGGAACATGGACCTATCACATTTCAATACTTATTCTTTGAAGTAACTTTCGCAGGTTACATTTGAACAAATGTTCTTATATATATCTTATATACTTTGTTTCTCTCTGCGTTTCAGTCAGCTTACACGAATGTCCTTCATAAATATTTTTGTCATAAAAAATGTTCAGAATGTTTCACCTTTTTTTTTGGTCAATACATAAATGATAATGTTTGAGAGAAAAATTCATTCCATTATTACTTTATCATCCTTCAGTATGTAATTTTGAGGTTTGCCAGTGTTATATAGTGTTTTTATTGTTGCTGTGAAGCGTAAAAAAAAAAATGTTGTACATATTCTGTGCTTTTTTGCATTTTCATTATTTTGTGGTGTTATATTTTCATATACTACACTGTGCCATCCACAAAGAATTAGCTATGAATAAGACGAGCCATATCAAAGAATACAGAGTTATAAATATGCGGTTCTATTACAAATGTTCCACCTGTATTTGATGTCATGAAATGTATCTATAAAATTTGTCCTTTGTCACTCATGTGGGCATTGAAATCTTGATTTCCTGTCAATGCTTTCTTTTTTCTTTCCTCATCCTTACTATCGTCAGTTTTACTCTACTTCTTTTGTATGTTTGTCTCTCTCTTTTGAACTGCTATGTCTGGGGTACCTTGATAGTCAAAGCAGACTTTGTGCTGTTGAAGCTCGAGAGGGTGAGCAGAGTAAGGCTGATTTCCCATTTGGACTTCTCTGTTGACATCCACCCCTTGGTCCTCATATGACCCTATGCAGTTGCGAGTGACGTAATACCTTACTAAAACTAACTAAACATTTTTCCTCCCTTCTTTTCTACGTTCTTACACTTTTGTGTTTGTGTGATGTCTCATTTAATTAAATGTGTGCCTGGAGAAAGGTCCCAGTCGGCAAAGCTATTTGAGAACAACAGGGTAAAAAGGTAAAAAAAGATGTACCTGGTCAGACATTTAGTTCCATTTGAAAACATACGTTTAACCGTTTCTTTTTTAACGTATTGAAAGGTTTTTGTATTTTAAATCTTAATATTTTTATTAATTATTTTTGCTACATGTTGTACTTCACCAAAGGTTAAACATGGGCTACAAAATTGATTTTTTCTCCCAACTTCGTTTTAATACCCTGTGTTACAAAATGGGGCATATCTTTAAATTACTCAATATATTTAAACAATTAACAAATCAGCATCTTCAGCATTGAATTTGCTACAAGAATATTCCTTTATCTTAATATTCAAGATTATCAACAACTGGGTCATTTCTCCAGGCATACACACAAATGCTTCCAATGCTGTAGTTTCAGTTGAAAGGCTGCTTTTTTTTTTCAGAGTCCCATCTCCTTTCTTTCCCCACCCCCACCCACCCTCCTCCTTGCACCTATTTACTACACTGCTGTCATATTTTTCTTGTTTTGAAATTCTTGTGTTTGATTTGAATTCTTTTTCTGTTCACATTCTTTAACCCTTTGAGCCCTAGCTGCCGGTACACGAGTGGCATGTAAAATTGCCCGTAGGCCTAGCCACCGGTGAGTGAGACCCTATTCCCAACCCCGCCTGCCTGGGACAAAGCGCACATGGAAAGCAGTGTTTGCTGCACAGGATGTTATTGATTATTTTGAAGATATTTCTGAATTAAATACTGGTAGTGACGAGGACTACCCGGAGTGATTCTGATGAAGATATAAATGAGCGAGTATTGTAGACGTGTGTCGCTCAGGCAGAGGGGCGTAGTAGCCTCAGGAGGTCAGGGTTCACAAAGGGTTAAGCTTGTTAACTTTGGACATCAACCATGCATCTATCACTTGAAGTAGCTGCTGAATCTTATTATTTGAAGAGATAATATTTTTCTCCACATATGTGCGTCTCATTTTCTAACAGTGTTGTTTTAGTCGATAAAGGTTTCTCAGTGTGGTACTGGGAAAGTAGGGGAGGTCATGATATTGAGTGGCGGAGAAGGGTTTGAAGGTCATTGTGTTATTCTGCCATAAAATATCACTGATTATTTTCATTTCCATTATCAGTATGTATATTAGTGGCATTGGTGAACTAGTGGTTAGGCTCTCAGACTTGCAACTGTAAGGTGTGGGTTCAAATCCCATCAGGAACCCGATGTTGTGTCCTTGGGAAAGGCACTTTACACAAATTTTCCTCAGTTCACACAGGTGGGATTGGGTACCCGGCTATAGACAGTGAAAGATCTTGTCAGTTTGTTAGTGTTTGAGCGCCTAATCAACTGCTTTTATACTTGAGTGTTCTATGGTCTGCTGGGGTAACAATATAGTGTAAAGTGCATAGAGCTTGCTGCAGAGTGGAGGTTATGAGCAATACAAATGCTATTTATTATTATTATTGCTGGGGCATGTTTGATGAAACCTTGAATTCGCAATTCAATATACTTGTGTTTTCAAACCTCAGGGAGTTTCCTGTTTACTTTTTTAATCAACTGAATTTGTAGAAGTGACGTGTGGACAGTTCAAATGCAGATACTTACTCAGAATAAATAATATCAGGGGCACCTTATTTGAAGAGTAAGGTGTCTGACTTTCAATATGAATGTTGTAAGTTTGATTCCTGACTGTTGTGAAGGATGTGGTATCCTGGGAAGAACACTTTACTCTTTTTTCCTCTGTTCTTACAGCTTTAAATGGAAACTTGGCTATTGACCAAGAGAGAATGTGTGAATGATAGCAGAAAGCAATTAACTAAGAGTGAACAGGCCAGTCAATGCAGTTATTGAGAAGTCGCAGGAGCTTTCAGGAAGATATAAAGCTTTTTTTTTTTTAAAAACCTCTATTTTTAAACATGTGAGATGTTTATGTCATTATTATATGCATATAACTCAGTGAGTATATTAACATTATTTATCAGTTCTAAGTTGACGGTTTGGTCGAAAGCAATGGAAGCATATCCAAAGTACAACTGGAAAGATTTTGAGTTGCTACAAGCTCCATTTTTCACTTGATTTGAGTACCCTTTCAGTGTCTTATTGGCTGGGTATTCTTATTCAAGCCTTGTAATAGACGAAGAAATACAAGAATACAGCACTTTCCGAAATCAGTGATGTCATTTTGTTATGTTAATGGACTGAAGCTGATTTTCTGTATACATTGTCAAATTTTTGTTAAAAGCAGTCTCATTTTATACAGATTCTTCTTTTGTGCTGTTTGTCATGACTGGCAGAAAAGTGTCACTCAGGCAATGCTCACCCATGGAGAATGACCTGCCACATGTTTCTTTTATTGCAGATACTCAGGTCTTAGTAGGGATTGTAAAATTTGTGTTGTTCCAGTGAGGCTGAGATTTTTAATAAGTTTTGTCTGGAGCACACAGGATCAGTTAAACACACATCATATGTGCTCGGTATCAATAACGCAGAAAGCACTTTTTGTCTCTGGCTATGTGTTGGGCAGCAATGTTTTATGATTATGTGTGTTGTTGGAACAATTCTGTAAGGCATTAAGTTTGTCCGTCATTGTCTGAGGATGGCCAATGCATCTGCCTGCATATACGGCCTTGCATAAGAAAAATAAAAGAAATTAGTTCTGTGTTTACTCTTTGTCTTCAAGATACAATTGTAATTTAGAAACAAACTGTCTGAATCTGTCATCTATGAACTTCTTGTTTAGGTTGCTTGTAATTGGCTTTCTGTGTCTCTGTAAATTGAAATCAAATGTGTTGTCTATATATTATGTTTCTGGCTTAAGAAATTATGGTCTTTGTTCTTTTGTGACATGATAAACTGCAACTGGGAAGTGTAACAGTAATAAAAGCTTGTTGGAGAAAGCATCCCAGCG